CCCCGACCCAACCCGGCCCGGGCATGGCCCATCCGGCCCGTTCCCCGGCCCTGGCACTGACCCCCACCCCCGACTCAACCTGGCCCAGGCTCCCTGTCCAAGCCGGCCCCCGGCCCTGCCCGAGTCGCCTTCCACCCTCCGGCCACAGGACCCCAGCCCCTGGCCGCCCCAATTCCAGGCCTCGTTGCCCGCCCGGGACCCGAGCCCTGGGACCCTGCCCCGGACGCCCCACGTGCGCGCTCGCCCTCTCTGTCCCACCCTCTGCGTTTATATTTTTTGGATTTGGGATAGGAAGGGAACGACGCCCACCAGAAGGCTACTAGGCATCCCTCCTCCGCCAAGGATTCTTCGCAGGACACCTGCTGAGGGGGTGCCGAGCACCCCAGGTCTCGGGACGGATGGGCGGGCACCAGGCGAGAATCCCGGTCCCCCGAAGGCGCAGCCGGCTCTGGAGCCCCTCGCACCCCCACCTCCGCCTGCCACCCTGGGGCACTTGGCCGTCCTGGCTTCCCAGGTGCCCGGCGCGGTCCCCTGGGGCATCGGAGTTGCCCGGCGGGATGCACTTTGACATGGTTGTCGCTTTACAGAAACTGAGCCAGGCAGGGTAGAGCTAGGACTTAGAGATAGAGATGGAGAAAACATATTTATGCTTTAGTATATTTACGTATTTAGGTGTTCTCTGTTGCTCGCGCACATAAGCGGCACAAAGGCCGCGCCGCCCAGGCCGCCCCGCCCGCCCAGCGCGCGGTCCCCGCCCGCCGGATGTTGACGCCGTCGCCTAGCAACGGGAGATGGCGGAGCCGGGCAGCCCGGCGGGCGGGTAAGTGGGGTCGAGGGACCGCGGGTCTCGGAGCGGCCCGCACGCCTCACTCTTTCCATAGCCACCTCGGCACCCCTTCCCCTCCACGCCCCTTTCCTCCTGCCTCTGCCCCTTCCATCCCACTCTCTAAGCCTTTCCCGCCCTCCCCGGCCACACCGCCCACTGCGCGCCCCCTCTCCCTTCTCACGTCCCGTCCCTTTGTCGTCTCCTGTACCCTCCCTCTTTCCCCTAGCTCCGGGCGCTCCCCTCTCTGAAACCCGGGACTCGCTGGCCCCGCAGTAACCATGGCAACCACTATGTTTGGCATTCCCTGCTACGGAGCCCAGAGCAGGGGTCTCTGCAGGGCTGGGGTCCGCGGGATGCGGCCCGGCTGTTGCGCTGTGAGCGAGAGACCGGCCCAGCCCCCGCCTCCCTCCTGGAAGGGCAGATCCCTCCCCCTTACCAGGCCTGGGGGTGGCAGGCGGTGGGCCAGGGTCCCTGTGTCAGGCAGCCCCACGGTGAATGTCCTGAGTACACAGATAGATGGTAGTCAGTTAAGATCCTAACACCAGGCCTCTGCTCTCTTATGCGTGGTTTAAAAGGATAGAAAGTATTTTAAAGAATTTGATCTTTTACCTTAGACACTTCAGTATTGTTTCATTTTTTCTAAAAAGTAGGTCTATATGTGCTGACATGGAAAGAAGTCCAGGTTACATTAAATGAAAAGAGTAAATGCAAAGCAGTATGTAAAGTGTCATTTCTAATTTGCAGGGGGGGGGGTGATGTTTAAATGCATAGAAAGATATTTGAAAGAATATACCCTTAAATCTCTTGCTGTTACCACTGGTTATCTTGAGAAGTAGAGGAAAAGTCACAGGGGATTTTTGTTGTCTATGTCACACATTTCTGTATTAGTTTGACTTAAAATAATGAGCTTGTATTTTAAAAAATAATTTTAAGAATGTAAATCATGCCATTCTTGTACTATCTAAATCGTGGAGAAACTAACCAAGAGTTTCTAGAGTATTTGTCCTTTTTGTGCAATTTTCTCTTACTTTGTATTTCTTTTCCCCAGTTTTGTCACAGACACAAGTGTATTTATGGTGACTTTTCTGGTGTAGTCTACTTGTGCTGTTCCTTTAATACTTGGATAATTGTATTTTTCATTCATTCATTCATGGAGCAACTCTTTTGTGGCACTCTCGTGACAGGCATGATTGAGCGCTGGGGTTAGTGACAAACGTGACAAAGTCATGGCCGGCAGCCAGAGGGGAGGCAGATAGTTAACAAGTAAATAGACACAGAATCCAGGAGGTGGTCAATGCCAGGACAAAGAAGGCTGTTATTTGAAACTGTTAAATTGTTTCTCTGCAACCAGGTCTCACCTGGAAGGAGACGCGACTTCTGCAGGAGAGGAGGACCAGAATAATGAAGGAGACAGGGTAAAGTTCCCTATGGGATGAATTATTCTGGGCTTGTATTTACTAGGAATTAAAGAGAGTTAGGACTTGCTCAAGAAAATTATACGATGATCTGGTTACCTTGCACTAGAACAGACTCAATTCAGTTGCAGAGAAACTCGCTTTCCTTCCACCCCTTTCTAGAGTGTTGACAGCTAGTCAGGAATGCCACAGATATCCTACTCTTAGATTGTCCTGAGCTTCTCAGAACTCATTTCCTGGAATGAAGGATGCAAAATAATCACAAAAAACTGAGAGAGAGTAGATAAATTAAAGCGTGAAACATAATCTCTTAGCGACGCTCAGAAATGCGTAGATGCAGTGGGAAACATCGGTATGATTACACTGTGAAGAATAAAACCTCACAAGAGCCTCTATACTTTGTTTCCTGATTTTTTTTCCTGCCACATGGCTACAGGTATCACCGACAGAGAAGAGCAGTGACCAGAAAAATGAGGAAGCTGTTGGCGCTACAGAGCATTCTGAGGGGGAAATCACAAATGATGGGGAAATCACAAATGATGGAGAAATGGAAATCGAAGGGGAAGTCAAAACCGATGGGGAAGTCGAAATTAAAGAGGAAGTGGAAACGGAAGAGGAATTTAAATTTGAAGGGGAATTCGAGTCTGATATGGAAGCCACATCCTCTGAAGGCAAAGTCAGTTCTACAGATCTGACTTATTCAGGGCTCAGTGCTGTGGGTGTGCCTGGAGGGGAAGCTGGCCCCACACACCCATATGAAGGAGCAAGGAGGGAAGCTGGTCTTGAAGACAGAGAGGCCCCCCGGCCATCAGAACCCGCAGAAGTGGGGGTCATCTCCACAGAGCCATCCCAGCAAGTAGTAGGCTTATCTGAGCAAATGGGCCAGGATGCTTCTCGACGGAGGGTTAGCAAATCGGTGAGTGGCCCTGTGGTCTGTTCTACACAAGTGTTTTATTGCCGTGGGGTTTGTCAGCCTATGTGAGGAACTTAGGGTCCACTCTAAACACAAATTGCAATCCCTACTAGAAATTTCTTAGCAAACTTAGGTCTCAGGATCCACTATCAAATGTCAGGAGTTTCTGGACCCTCCAGAGGTTGGGAACGTTCCTTGTAAGGACATCCAGGTTTCCAGTCTCTGGAGCAGCGCCATCCAGTAAAACTTCCCACGATGGTGGAAATGCTCTTCGTCTGCACTGTCCAATATGGTAGCCGTAGTCACGTGTGGCGGCAGAGCACCTAAAATGTGGCCAGGGAGATGAAGGAACTGGATTTTTAATTTTTTAAGATTCTAATTATTTAAATTTATATAACCACCTGTGGCTAGTGGATACCATACTGGACAGGGCAATTCTAGATAATAATGACAATGGTTACTTATATTCTTATAACTTTCCTTGTTTACTTTTAAGCAAGCACAAACTTATAGAAAAAGGGAAGTATGATAAGAGAACTTTTTATTTTTTTAAGCATTCAAGAGAGAGTTGCCCATCTGATGCTCCACGGCCTTCCAACGCTTCCGTGTTCCCTCAAACGACCACAGTGAAACTAACAAAATCAGGAAATTGCGTTCTATTACCAGATAATCCTCAGGCCTCGTTCACCAAATGTGCCAATAATGTCTTCTAGCAGAGGTCCAGTTCAGAGTTGCCTGTTGCCTTCAGCTGTCACATCTCTTTAGTCTTAATCTTTCCTTGGCTTTGATGACCTTGACGCTTTCAAAGGTCACAGGCCAGCTATTTTGTAGAATGTCCCTCAGTTTGGCTTTGCCAGGTGTTTCCTCACGGTGCACTTTGGGTTGCGATCCCTTGGCAGGAATGTCCCAGGAGGACGCTGTGCTCTCCTTGAGTCCTTTCGGGTGGTCCCCATTTCAGGTTGTCCTGTTACTGGTGATGTGGGCGTGGGTCACCTGATGAGAAAGTGCCAGCCTTGTGCATGTGAGGTTACCCTTCACCCCTTTGCATTTAAGAAGAATTGTGTGGGAAGGAGCTTTTTTTGTTTAAGATAGGAAAGTGAATATTTTCGAATGAGAAAAAAAATCACAACAGATTACCATCATTTTTTTAGGACTTCTTATTTCTCTCAGCAATGTGTACAGGTATAGCACAATTTTTGTAAGATTTATCCCTAACTATTTTGCATTTTCGATGCCATTGTAAACAGTTTCCAATTGTTTGTTGCTAGTATATAGATACAATTGATTTTTGTATATTGATCTTATATCCTGCAGCATTGTTAATGCCCTCGTTAGGTTTCACAGCTTTTTTTTATAGAATCCATAGAATTTTTCACAAGATGATCATGTTGTCTGCAAATAAAGGCAGTTTAACGTCTCCATTTCCAATCTGGATGCCTTTTCTTTCTTTTCTTTGTCTGACTTCACTGGCTAGAACCTCCAGCACAGTGTTGAATAGAAGCGGTGAGAGCAGACATCCTTGTCTTGTTCCTGGTCTCAGGGGGAAAGCTCTCAGTCTCTCACACTGAGTATGGTGTGAGCTGGAGGGTTTTATAGACGCCCTTTGTCGGGTTGAAGGAGTTCCCTTCTATTCCTTGTTTGTTGAGTACATTTTTATCATGAAAGGATGTTAGATTTTGTCAACAGCTTTTTCTGTGTCTATTAAGATGATTGCATGTTTTTTCTTTTTTAGTTTATTAATTTGGTGGTTACATTAATTGATTTTCAAATGTTAAGACAACTGCATTCTGAGATAAACATGGGAAGATCCTTTGAAACTATGTAAATGTCCCAGTCCTCATAGAACTTTCAATTTATTCATTTACCTATTTATATCTGCATGGACTCATGGTTTCCCATTTCGTCTGCTGGGTTATAATCCATTGCTATCAATATTTATATTGATGCTCAAATTGTCCCCAATTTGGCCGGTGAGAGCCCATTTAAATTGCCCTTTGTGTCCTCTGACACACCCACATTCTTCTTCTTCTTCTTTTTTTTAACTGCCATCCTTCTTTGAGCACTTTCTTGTTCTCTGGCACAGACTGCCCCAGCCCTAGAATCAGACATTTCTCTAGGAGCCTGGTTTCTTTTCATGGAAATAGAATTTAGAGGTCAAGATTTGGGTGTTTAGGTATTCTCATTGCCACTGGGATGTCACTGTCCCCAGGCCTTCTCAGTATTATACATACACGCTTGCACACACACACAACCTAGACATATACACATGCCACATACACACCACATGCCACACACACTACACACATGCACACATACACATCCCAAACACATACACATACCACACACACACAGCATACCACACACACACTATACACATGCACA